CTCCCAATCCCTCTTCTCCCTCCTCATCCCTCTCGCGCGCGCGTTTCGTAAATTGGGACAGCCTCGCGCGCGCATCGACTGTAACTAAATCTCCCGTATCCTGCGCGAGGCATTTCTCGGGGCAGCACCGCCAAAAAATCACGCCCGTCTTCTTGCGAAGCGTCAGGCGAGATTTTCTCGAAGTTTTTACACCCGATGCCGCTGATATCTATTTCAGATGTAAATGTAACGTCGTAAATGTAATTTTTTTTTTTTTTTTTTTTTTGTTAAAAAGAAGAAAGAGAGGAAACGCGGAAAGTTTTTCAGACCGGAGTATATTCAGAGACAGATCGTATTGTCAGGCCGTCATAGAGATTTAATTTTCCTCAAATCCTTTGTGGATTTTAACAATCGACGAAGGAGAAAAAAAAATGTTCCCTTTTGCCCTTTTTCTCGCGAGCGTTTTTTACGCTGACAACCTCGTCGAGATTTCACTCCGGGCGCGCAGAAAGTGACGAGTGAAAAACCGTTCAGAATTTCCGTCCTCGTATAGGTCTCCCGCGCGTGCTGCATCGCGCGTACTGCACAAATGTACTTTCTATGCATTTCAGTTGGTGAATGGCCTAGACGTACCTCGATACATGTGCGAGACGGAGGTGATGGAGGATGTAAACGTTGCCCCGACGGCGGCGGCGACGGCGGCGGCGGCGGCGACCGTGATGGAGTACACCACCACTTCCGGCAATCATACCAGCAAGAACGCGAACGGGAACATCATCACCCTTACGCTCAAGAACAATCATCTTATCGTGGAAACGGAGGAACGTGCGGTATGTACGTCGTTATAGGAAATTTTCGACGTGCGTATTAGTTGTCGCTCTCTGTACAACGGAAACGTCCAGCACTTACAGCGAATCCTTTTCTTCTCCTCCACGTTTATTCCTAAACAAGAGCGGGGGATAAGAGCGAAACTCGTCGACGGAGTCGGAATAACCGGGTCAGAGACTGGCTCGTTTTCGGGCTGCGGGGAGTAGATTCGTAATTATCGAACTTGGCCGACCCTGGTAAGGTCGGAGGTTACCGGGCAATTTCGCCCTCCTCCCACCTACCGTCCTACTTACGGTGCCTCGTCTCATTCGCGGAGGCTCGTCCGTGTCGAAGATTCTCGAAATCCGTCCGTCGCGTCGAGGTCCTCTCGCCTCCGCCGACACCTACGTTTCCTCTTCCTCTCTGACACCGCGGCACATCCACCCTCCCTTCCCTCTCACGCCTACTCTTCCTCTTTCGTCTGTCTCGCACGCTTCCTCATTTTCCACCCCGATCTCTCTAAATGCGCGCTCTGTTTCAATCCATTCTTCTTACATATATGTACGTATCTATATATATATATAAAGTGCCCTAACTTTCGAACAAGGAAAAGGCGTGGAGCGATTCGGGTCCGTAACTTGGGCTTGTATTAAAAAAGAAAAAAAGGACAGAGAAAAAAATAATGGATCGAGTAGATACGCACGAATTCACGTGGGAGAATTGGAACGTTCGGTCAGAGTAATGACCTTTGAATTTAATCAGATATCCTGATCTTGGAAATTCGCGTCACATTCTATTTTTAATTTTTTCCTAACTATTATTTTGTCACTTCTTTGGACAATTATATTCAACATTAAGTAATTAGTGTTTACTGCATCTATTATTTTTGCGTATATAAATATATGTACCTTCCTTATTCTTTATTTAATTTCGAGATTTTAGCAGAATCTTATTTTGATTTGACTTATTACTTAAAAAATATTTAAAATGCAAATAAATTATTAAAATTATTTAAAAATCATATTCATTATTTTAAAATGTAAATAAATCATTGAAAAGTATAATGAAGGTATAATAGACGAGAATATTTTATCTGAAAAAAAACTGTGGATTACTTTACATAGTATAATGAATACTTTGTATTTATTATACTATATAATATATTTTTAACAGAGATTAACTGCAGAGCAAGGAACGTTAGTATCGGTCCACAATGAGGATTTTAAGCTCTAAGTAGTAAGAAATGGACCTGCAATCGCGTAGTCGAGTATGAGGAGAATAATCGATTGTAATTGATCAATATCTTATGGTGTAAGGCTTAAAATCCTTATTGTGGACCGACACTTATATTTCATAGTTTGTGTGATATATTTTGCTATATTCGCTTCTCCAGGTAACGATGGAGGATAACAAACCCACGTCAAGATACAAGGACAGCGGGTGTTCATTTGTGGTGGAGGTACAGCCGGATTATGACAAGGAAGAGACGGAGGGTAACAAAGGGTCGTCCGATGATGTGACCACTGGTGTCACCGATCAACAGGCTCTGGTGCACAGGGAGGAAATACCGGACGACAGATCCTCAGGTGATCATTCTCGTGATGGATGTAACATCTCGGTTTTTTTTTTGTGAGTTATCTTCTATTTTTATTATTTCCCACGTAGGTTTCGAAAATACGCGACTGTTCGGGAGCACCAATACTGGTCTGTCACAATCAGACCTTTCGATATCCAGTCAAGGTTCGGCTAATCCGAGCTACCGCTACGGCAATCAGGTCGAATATGATTCCGGCCATCTTGGTTACCCCATGTACGGTGGTAACTACGAGTCCGATGTGTTACCGAGGAAACTGGAGGGACGATCGAAATGGGTCGAATTCGACAAATCACCGGATATTGAAAAGATACTGTTAGACGATGCCAGAAATTTCAACGAGGAGGAAGCCGAGGAAGAGGAGGAGGATGAGGAGGAGGCGGAGGAGGTAGAAGAGGAAGAGGATAAGAATGTAAGTAAAATAGAAAGAGATTAATTGATTCGTTGATTCCGAACTTTTTTGCATGCGCAAAAACATTTTAATTTTGTTATAAGATAAAAAACGAATAGATCTCTCGCGACTATCAATAGTACTAATAAAACCTATTTTTTTATAGATTATTCAATCATACCTTTTTCGGTTAAAACAAGTTCTATAATTAATAATTAATCAAACAAGCTTCATATTAATTAAGATTAAGAAAAGACTTTGTTATATTTCAAATAACAATTTATATTTCGAAGAATAATACGTTAAAATATTTAAATTATTGATACTGTAAAAAATTCCTTTGATATTGTCTCTTAATTAATCTTTGCTTGAAATCTTCGTTTTCTTTTTAACCGCAGTTCTTCGGAAAATCAAAAAATATATCGTCCCTACAAGACGTTGTGAGCGCGGCGATAGGACGAGAGGACTCGTTGGACGTCGACAGTTTCCCGGACGCTGTGCGATCGAATCCGAATCTCCAGGTGAACGGTACGACGCCCAACAAGCTCGAGATTATGGAGCAAAAGGCGCTGAGCAACGACTTCGCCAGCAAGGCGGAGAATCACAAGCCCGTGATAACCGGCGTGCTGCTGAAGGACGACGTGCTGCAGGAGGACGCGTTCCAGGAGCAGCAGCGTAAACTGGGTAACGGCACGCTGACGCCGGAGCACAATAAGGGAGACAGGACGGCCGCGCGCAAGCCGGAAGGCAGCGTTTTCGTGCCGAGTCACAAGCGAGCGGGCAGCATCCCGCCGCGGCTGATCGAGGAGACGCTCGAGATGGATCGCAAGAAGTCCCTCGACATCTACAACAAGTACAGTCAAATCAAAACGAGCACCAGGGGCATACTGCCGAGCTTGAGTCCGAAATTCGAGCTGCTGCAGAACGAGGTGAGTCCGATCGAGGAGAAAGAGAGTTAATGCGCGCGCCAATCAAAAGGAACACCTCCCCTTCCCCCTTTCCCCTCTCGTCCCGTCGCCTTCCGTCCGGAAGGTTCCCTTCGTTGTCGTCGTCGTCGTCGTCGGTTCCCCGACTGTGCTGTCGGGAACGCAACGTCCTCGGGATAAATTGCAACGAAAGATACTAGTCAGGGATTATTGACAAAGAAAATGCAGCGAACACGATTAATGGTGTACTAATGGTGTAGGAATTATGTTACTTGGTGTAGCGAATATATGTAACGGATATGTCGGCATCGTTAATGGTCGATCTGCACGACTATCTATAATACTTCGACAGATGGCAACGATCTCGCGGATTTGAACCGAATATATAGTTGAGTATCTTCGCGAGAATATCTACACAAATGCTATGCGACGACGTGAATTATTTAACGTGAGAAGTTAGCGTTTAGCGTGTAAGCAATTTAATCAAAGAAGGAAAGACGCGGTCACCGTATAAGGACGCTCTATACACATGATCGCATGATTAGAATGGTTTTTCTTTCGGAAATAATAAAACGAGACGTGTAACACATAGGTCGCTGAGTTTTCTAATTATATATTCAGAAAATCGCTTATTTCGTGTTGTATACATATACGATGGCTTAATAAAAAAAAAAAGGAAAAATTTTGTCTTTAATATAACGGACCGTATGCTATTTAGTTCAAGCCGAATGGAGAACTTTTCGCAATCTAAACAAACGAGCGATAATTAATGTTAAGCGTAACATATGCCGATCATGAGCTAATCAAAGAAAAGCGTAGCAAATAAGAGAAACCTTTTTTCATCGTAATCTCACGTAGACTTAACAGGTTCATCACTCGACTTGTGATAGGAACGTAGTCATATTATAAGATTTCGTGAAATTAACATTAATGATATTAGAAAATATACATACGTGACACACTCGATCTTGCTCTGGTTTCTAACTTCTTTATTAAGAACACGTAGTCAAATTTTAACTTTTTTACACAAAATGCGTTACCTTTTTCATTCTTAAAATTAATTGCTTATAAATCAGTATTTTAAATTGTTTGTGAATATTTTTTAGATACTTTATTTAATGTTTGTAATGAGAAAAATTTGTAACAAGCATAGATAAATCGGTTCCTTAAAATTCGTGTAATTTTAATGCCGTAAAAAGAGCGCTAATAAGTTAAATAAAATTTATTTCCTAGGTGCAGTAGAAATATGATTAAAATTCGCCCGAAATCTCTTGGTTCGTAGCTGCTACGGGTTCATTAACATTCTCGATTTAGCATAAGTCACTCGAGCTACTAAAATCACGCATTGTTAGTAATCGTAAGTTCCTTAGAGCGTAAGCGACATTACATTTCTAAACATTCATATTTAGTAAACAAGTCAGTGTATACACATCGAATTGTATATACATATATAACAAGGTTCACGCGTAAATATAAATAAAGATAAGCACATACACGTGCATGGGCACGTGTACATTTAAGCGCGCACACGATGTTAAAGAATTTTTTATTAGCTTCGTAGGCGTTTCAGGATGTCAAGGATCGACGCTTAAAAAAAAAACCTAACGATCACACGTGGATTCTAGTGCCAAAATAGTTTAAGACGTTCTCGAATCTCGAATCGACCTACGTGTCGACGAACGTTTATCTATGTATAACTACGTTGAGAGAGGGAAGCATTACGTTATTGATATTTCAGATTTTATATGGTTACGTTGAATGTTATATAAACGTTATCGAATGTTGGCTTTGCAATGTTTTGTCGTGAGTTTTCACGAATGTGAAAAATTGAATGTCCTTAACCTGTATATACCCAGAGAGAAAAAGAAAGAGAGAGAGAAAATATATCTCCCTCGTGATCAGATATCTTTCCCATTTTTGCAAATATTCTTCCTATCGCCACTATATCTACACTTTTTGCTTTCCATGAGAAGAAATCAAAATCAATCTACTTACTTCGATATATACGGATCGCCCGCGCGGGCGATTGCGCTAAAGCGAGATAGAGCAGTATAGAATTTCGCAACGATGGGTATAAATGGGTCAAGACGTTAGAAATTTTTCCTGTCTACAATTAAATATTTAATCATCTTTCAGAGATGCGACGGAGAATTTTGTCGACCGAGATCACGTTCGAAGCGCTTAGCCGACGCAGCGCGTTGTGCGTCTTGAAATTACAGAAATGCAGTATCGGTGTGCGTTTTGATAACCCCTCCAGCCTATACAGTTATGCGAAGAATCTCGGTATTTAAAGAACGCTTTAAAGAACGTCGTGCGCTTAGCGTGCGATTGTCTTCATTTTCGTGCGATATGGAAATGTCCTTCATCTCTATCATTCGACACGGATTATTTGATATTTATACTTACTCATGTATTACGGACGGAAATGCGATTTAGAGGCAAGTCTTCGGACGTGATCGTTATTGCACGTTGGATCAGGAAACTATTATTTTCTCTAAATATTTAAAAGTCTCTATTGTGTGCGACATAAGATAATTGCCGATAGAGCATGATTTAGAGGATTATCGTAGATTTAGACTCGAAATGTATTACAACTGCGAAAGTAGAAGTCGTCCGAATGCATAATGCAAAAGCGAGGAGACACGAGACAAGAAATGTTACGGTAGTAATCAATTTAATTACGCGCATTATATTTGATCTCTCCATAAGATTATCTTATTACCGTTAAATGTGCGTTAAGACTTTGCTTGTTCTTTAAAAATCATGTGGAGCATGGGCTTTCACACTATCGGAATGGTGCGATCATACGATTGTTTGTTTATACAAATTTTAAAGAAAACAGATATTTACACCTTAATATATGTATATATATAGTTTTAACTTCGATAAATTAAAGTTATATATAGTATATTTCATATATTTTTTGTTGTACATTTGTATATTATACATTATAAATAAGCGAGGATTGTTCTTCTTTTCATTAATCGCTAAATAAGTAATCGCGTTGCGAACTTTTTAAATATATCTCGTTTTAAATAATAATCCATTTGTTAGATTTTTATACAGGATGATTTGTGTAATGTCGACGGGTTGTAGTTCTTGTTAATTGCAGATGACTCAATCGGTATAAAGAAAACGTATAACTACATTTGAAAAAAAAAGTAATTTATTGAAAATTGTACACGTGTATATATTTTTAAAAGCAGCTGTGTTTTTTAGATTAATTAATTAATTATATTATTATGTGCAGAAATATTAAGGTGAGAGTATTAAAAAATAAATATTTACGAGATACTTTATATATTATGTTACCAAAAGATAGAATAAAATATAAATATTTCGTAAACTATATCAATTCATAAACTTATCTAAATACTTTTATGCGCAAAATGTAGTTGTAAGAATCGATTAATGCAAAAAAAATCACATGATTCCATTAACAAAATGTAATTGCACTTTTTCTGGTGCATTCTTGTACTTAAGTAGATATCTATATAATCTTAATATGTCATTAATTTTTTCCTTTGTTAAGTTTTTCTATTTTTAACGAAATAAGAACTACAATTCGTCCCACTTGTATGACTCATTCTGTATATTAAAGGGATTATATATAGAGATCTAATATAGAGATCTAATAGAAACATTACTAGCCCTCCGTCGACAAGATGGACCTTTTAAGGCATAGTCGATTTTTTTTATTTTGAATTTTAAGAGAATGAAGAGGTAGATGTGAGGTAGAGGTGAGGTTCGGTATCCCGCTTTAAAAAACTTTCTATTATAGTAAAAACTTATTAAAGACTTGTTAAAGATTTCACGAGTATTCATGAATTATTTCAAACTTTTAGTGCGGAATAATGAAAAAAATTTGATGTGGACTTCAAAGACTCATTTTTGGAACCTAGATTGGAACTTTCACATTACCGACGGAGAGCTAGCGCGATCAACGATTAATGAAAATCATATTGTTATAATTAATTTTACGCGAAATATATACGCACAATTTTTTCTGCGGGGCAGGATAATATAATGTCTGGTATGTTCATGTGAAAGTACTGAAGGACACTCGATTGTAGAAATCTACAAGGTATTCAAGATGATAACATTGAAGGTGCTAAAGTAATAACATGAACGACTACATTCTTTCTTATGTAATTGATAAACGCAAATTGGACCCGCTAAGACAATGCGTCCGTCCTTCTATGTCGTATTCGCGAATGATTGCACAAATTAATTCTCTCATGCGCAAATTAATCGGACATAGTAGTTTTGTTGACTGTTTTCTTTAGAGATTTAGTTTCAAACTGAAAAAGAAAATGTTCGACTGAAAATTTTATACAATTCTTTTTGCAATAATTAAGAAGCTCACAGTACTTGGAAAGAATTTTCATACAGAAACCTGTCATATTTTCTATTTAATTATGATTGTTAAAAGAGCCACGTTTCTACAAAAATTGATATTGCGCATGAGAGGGTTGATGAAAGGATTTTAATGTAATGCATAAGAGAGAAATTGATAAGAATATTAATGAGGAAGCATGTGAAATAAGCTTCTAACGTCCGAGGCTGTTTTAATATTTTATAAGGTGCAAGCTACGTCAGAAACTGCAATTTCCTACTAAATACACATCTCTTTCTTTCAACGTAACTGACAAGTCGAAAGTAATACTAGCTATTGCGCTCATTATTAATGCGAAAACACATATGCGAAGCGTTTTTCTTACAGACATTTATTTCTAACGACGCCAAGCTATGTCATTGTACATGTCAACTTGGTTTGCAAAAATAAATTATTGGGCACAAAGAAAGCGTTTGTTGTTACCACAATTGCGGAGGTCTTCTGTTTCTCTATCGCGTATAATTATTCATTAACATTACTAGTGCATAAAAATCTAATAATTTTTATTTATATATTCCTGTAATTTTACGCAGACATGCATCAGACGTATTATGTTTTAATGAGAAGCTTGATTTAATGACATGCCAAGTCATCAAATTTTACATGAAAACAAACGAACGAACTTCTCTCATTAAAAACTCAATATTCCTCTCTGCAGTTTTTAAAATAAATCCTTCAATATATCGTTATTTAAAAGAATGCGAGATTTCTATTGGGACCACAATCGGATACGTAGATAGATATAAATCAAGAGAGATCTTCACATACTCTTTCCTTCTCATCTTCAGCATGTCATTATGTCAAACTTTTCGCTTCAAAGTTTCTACAAAATAAAAATGTATATGCAATTTGTTGCATTTGTATTAAACAATATAAGCTCTATTTATGTCAAATTATGTCAAACTTTTCATTCCAAGGTTTCTACAAAGCAAAACTGTACATGCGATTTGTTGTATTAAACACTGTATGCTCTGTTTATATCAAATTGTTATATAAAATTATAAAAAGACAAGTGTGAACATTCCTATCTATTTCACGAATCGGTATGAAAAAATAAAAATTTTGTTCCTTCTAAATCGAGAATTTTTATTCATTCCTCATCAAAATCTCAGAACTCATATAACATAACGTTAAACAATGAAACAATTTTTAAATACCGTATGGTATAAAATTAGTTATTGGAGTTGCTTAGCGGTTAGCGGGAGAACTACTTTATCATCCCAATCCGAACGGGCGGGACGGAGGAGGGGGAGGAGAGGGCCGAATCACCGCAGATCTTTCCCCCAATTCGGTTTATAATTACGTACATCCGTGGAATAAATTTACTCGTCAGACACGAGTCAGACGCGTCTCAGTCTGATGCCCGCGTAATATAACCATTTAATTAACGACCATTCGCTTAATTAACGAGGCCAAGTATGTGACACGTCGTTAACGCAGGGAGCTAAGATATTTCATTATAGAGTTGCGTACTACATTTTCACGCGTGGAGAATTTCGCGTAAGCGCGCTTTTACGTCTGTACACCACACTCCTGTTATGTATATCATTTATTATTGTTGCCGGCGTGGCCAAAAGCGTGGCGAGGGGGAAAAAAAAAAAGATGAAATTCGTAAAAGCTCGTTTCGGGATAAATCAAAGGATAAGTGCCCGGCGCCACCTAGGTGCATTCGTCGAC